CAAATTCTCAAAAAATTTTATCAACCAGATGAGTCACTCCTTTTTCAGTGGGGCTGAGGAAAAAGAAGGCGGAAAAATAAGATGAAGAATTTCAATACTGTTCTCTTCTAGGGAATGGAAGAGTTCATTGCTTTCTCTGGGAAAACTGGAATTGACTCTCACACTTGGACTCAGCCAAGACTTTCTAGTGTATGTGTAACATACTTGTGCTGAATTTGTAGTGGAGAAATGTAAAGTAGGAAAAAGACAAATATAGTATAGTGGAGAGAGATTCTTTGTAGTTATCAAGACCTGGGCACAAGTGAAAGAAGGACAGCTGGTAAGAAGCTGCCCTGTAACACGGGGAGTCCAGTTTGGGGCTCTGTGACAACCTGGAGGGATGGGTTGGAAGCCTCCAGAGGGAGGGGCTGTATGGAAAATTATGGTGGATTCATGTTGTTTTACAGCAAAAACCAACACAATACTGCAAAAAGTTTAAAAAAAAAGTAAAAATATGAAAACAATGCATAAGAATAAATATTTTCTAGCTTCACAGTATTTTTTAAATTTCTTTTGCTAGTTTCATGGGCTAAAAAACAAATAAGTAAAGAGTGAAGACAGAAATTTTTAAATTAATACATGGTTTTCCTGAGTTATTTTATGGATTAAGATGAAAAATTTCTTAGAAAACATGGGTTGAGCCTAGAAATAAGTCAATAAAATATTGAGTTTTTTTTTTTTCCTTCCAGAAAATGCTAACACAGAAATTAAATTTTGAGGGACTTTGAATTCACTGTTGTTTTCCAAGGGCCAAGAACTGAGTTGGCACTTAGAAGGCACTCACATTCTTTCATTAGCAATGCCTTGGAGGAAATTCTTTGGCAGTTTAGTGGCTGGGACTTTCATTTCCAAGGGCCCAGGTTCAATCCCTGCTCAGGGAACTAGGGACTAGGATTCCAAAAGCTGTGTGATGCAGAATAAAAAACAAACAAACAAAACAAAACTTTCATTACTCAATTTCCAGTGATCTTTTCCTTCTCCCAATTCTAGAGTAGTTAAGTTCTAAACTGCATAATCTACCATTACATTTCAATATGCCTTAATTTCTAGTTGCGGCCTCTACCTCCTCAAGATGACAAGATGATTCATTTTATTTTCTAGAGAGTAAGGGGAGATAGTCTGGCACAGAATCTGAATCTGAAATGCTTGACTCTGATCTCTACACTATCAATCAGTAGCTGTGAGACCTTGGACAAATAACCACTCTAGGCCTTTCTATTATCATCTGTAAAACGTAGGTAATAACAGTATTTCACTCATATATATGATTAAAGAAGATTATTCATGGAAGGGATTTGGCAATGCCTACTACATAGCAAACAATTGATACATACATGTTACTAGTTTTAGTTAAATACTATCCTATGAATTGATGTTTTTTGGATTTTTAATTAAAAGGACTTGGTGGCAGAGAGCTGATTAAATATTCTTTGACAGGGCTGAAGGTGAGTACACAGACTGAAAAGAGAAAAGGATTATTTTACTGGCATTGGCTTTTAAGTTAAATTATAGAAGGTAACATAGTTTATAAGCGTCTTGAAAACAAGGGTTATGAATTTTTAGTAACAAAACTCCAACGACTTGCCAGTGTGCTTGACTCATATCTGGTACTCATCTAATAATTGCATAATTCATCAGCAAACAAACGGGTGCGCTGTATTCAGTCCCTCAATGCTCAGTCCTGTCTGACTCTTTGCAACCCCATGTACTCTATTAGGCTGCTCTGTCCATTGCATTTTCTAGGCAAGAATACTAGAGTGGGTTGCCATTTCCTAATCCACTGGATGCTCCCCGCCCAGGGATCCAACTTGAGTCTCCCGTCTCCTGCATTGGCAGGATTCTTTACCACTTCCACTGGAAAACCCAGTCAATAAATGAATCCTGGTATAAAAACCCAGGCACTGTTCTGCTTCCAGAGAGAGCTCTCCTGCTGGCAAGCAGATTCTACTCCCAAGTGCAGAAGGTAGGTCACTGTCCATGGTTTCAAAAGCTCCCTAGGGTGGAACCTGTTCATCTTTAGCAAACAGCTTTCTCTCTCCCTTCAAAAATCTCTTTTGGGCGGAGCTCTCCCCCCTCCCCTATGTATCCTAAAATGACTAGTTCTCACTATCTCGGATTCTTTTAATATTTCGAGATCTCAGCGTCTTTCCTGCTGAGCCTCTAAGCTCTCTGCTTAAGAATCCTGGACTTCTGTCATCTGGGCCTAGATTTTTAATATGCTGACCGCCTGGAGACCCTGGCCTTCATCTCAGAAAACAGATAGCTCAGTCACACGTCTGTCTTAAAAAGCAGTCGACTGCTTGTGGTTCTTTTTTCGAACCCCTGAAGGCAGCAGAACTAAGCAGCGGTGGCTCGCAAAGTCTGCCCGGCCGAGGAAGCTCATGATATTCGCACTGCTCACTCTCCCTGCCCTCCATCCCAACCCCGCACCCGACAGCCAGTCTGCAAAAGGCGGCTGCACTTCTTCCTGAACAGTTAGTTCAAGAATCCTGGGAACGCCGCACTGTAACTCCTTTGGTTCCAATCCCGCACTCTTACAAGCCACACTGCCTGGAAGACTCACTAACTTTACTGTGCGGATGAATGGTAACCATTTCCCTTCTCCTCCATCCTTTATGCTGTTATTAGACCGAACCCCAAACCTCACACTGAAATGGTTTCTAAACCCCCCCAAAATAAAAAGTCCAACCAACAACAACACCCCTTGCGGGTTACGTGTCTTTGTTTTGTGTCCATCCGCGCTCGGGCAAAATCTCCAAACGTCATAGTTTGCAATCTGAACAAGAACGCAGAGCAATCCGAGATCTTTTCTGGGATTTCCCCTTCACTGTCCTCTTCTTCAGTACTCCCAAAGTGGTGAGTCTGGGGTTTTCTCAGACCTCTATAGCAGCCATAGAGGCAATACAACTCTGCACTTTTTTTTTTTTTTCCTCTTGTTGCCAGCCTTCTCAAGGAAACAGTCCCGAGCCCAGGGTCTCCTTCCGACTTCTTTGCATCTAACCCGCGAGCTGTTGACCGGAAGCAAGTCCTTTCCTGGCCGCGGAGGGGACCTTCTGCGGAACAGCGTGAGGCTCCGGCCACAGCCTCCGCCTGGGCGGCTGCTGGCGCTCCTGCCGCCCCCACCTTCCCCGAGGCCTAGAGGAGCGGAGCTCTAGGCGTGTGTGTGTGCGCGCTCGCGCGGCTGGTGCGGGAAAATCTGAAGAAGCTGCTGAATATTGCTGGCAGTGATCTGAAGCCCAGCAAAAGCCTGTAAAGCACTTGAGCTTTCCGAAAGAAAAACAGAATAAACGAAAGAAAAGAAGCGAAGCTCGTTCTCCTAGAGCCCGGATTTCCAGTAGTGCTGTGTCTTCCTGGAGCTAGGCAGAGGCGTGTTTGGCAGTGGCCACTGCCCGCACCCGGGCTTGGAAAGACGGGTTTTCCCCGTTTCAGGAGGAGGGAGGTGAGGGACTTGCAGGACCTGGTCTAGAAGCCGGCAGAGAGAACTCTGGGGTAAGTACTGTTCTGGCACCGGAGCGGGAAAGGGGCAGGAGGAGGTGGGCAGGAGAGGGACAGGAGAGAGGGAACGGAATGAATTATGCAAAGAAAAAAAAAAAAATCCCCAATACTCCACAGCGGAGGGAGCGCAGCGCAGCGCAGCGCAGCACTCGCAAGATGAGTCCGCCCGTGTCCCCCGCGCCTAAGCCGCTGGCGCAAAGTTCTTTTTAAGGAGAAGGAAAATCTCCCCAGATCCTGTAGTGACAGCAGCCGCCAGGGCGGGGCAGAGTGAGGGGCTGCGGCTCGGCGCTGGGCCTGGGCGGCCGCGCTGCCCCGAAACCCGAAGCCCAGCGCTCCCGTGCTCATGGCCGCATTAGGCCTCGCCTTCCCGCCGCGCCCTCCTGCCTCCGCCCCGAGCGACTGGCGGCCGGGGTGACGCTGGGCCCGGGCTCGGCGAGACTGCTCACCTGGCCGAGCCCCTCTCCCGTCCCCCCGCCCCCGCCCTCCGCCTCCCCGCGGAATCGGGAGGCGCCGGGATCCGTAGACGAGGAAATAACGACCCCTGCAGTTGCATTGCGGAAAATCGCGGCGGCGGCGGCAGCGGCGGCGCTTAGTCGCGGACCATGGAAGCGAGGGAACTGGAGGTTCTGGGGAGACCAGAAAAATAGGAGAGGGACAGCAGGCGCGCGCGCCGTGGGAAGCCGGTGAGCTCTCGAGGCCAGCGGGGAGCCGACCCCCCATTGCCCCCGCTCCACGCCCTGGAGGGTCGCTCGAGCCGGGCTCCGAGGCGGCACGCTGCGCGCAGACTGGGGCGGCAGGAAGGGTCTGCGGAGGCGGCAGGCGGCCGGCAGTCTCGGGCAGTAACCCCTGCCTATCTTTCTGTCCCTCTGTATGCTGTGTCTGCGTTCCTCTGGCACCCGGGAGCAGGAGGAGAACGGCGCGGCGCGGAGCAGCCACCCTCTGACCATGCCCCGGTGAGGGGGGCGGACTTCGAGTGCAACTCGTCGCGGACTGCCGGGGCTTAGCCCGCAAACTGCGAGCGACCAGAGACCCGGAACAGCGCGGCACGGCCCGGCGGGGGGCTATCGTCTATGTCTTCTTGGGGAGCCAGGCCGATCGGGGTCTCGTTTTTGCAGGAAGAGCCCAGAGCTGGTGCGTTCGGGTGGCTACTGCCGCCGCTGCTAGTGCTATTTCCGCCGCCTGTGCAAGGAGCAGAGACCGGTGAGCAAGGAGACCTCCCGGGCAGCGAGACATCGGTCATGTGTCAGCACGTCTGGGGCGCACATCCGTCGAGCCCGAGGGGAAATTTGCTGGAACAGTTCAAACTGCGATATTGATCTTGGGGGTGACGGTCCCTGGCCGACTATCCGGTGAAAGTGCGAGTGTGCGCTCGCTAGGAAGTGTGCGTGTGTGCATGTGTGTGTTCCTTGTGGGGCTCCCCCTTCCCCCCCTGTTTTCACGTCGAGTGATGCACTTGGAATGAGAATCAGAGGATGGAAATAGTCTGGGAGGTGCTTTTTCTTCTTCAAGCCAATTTCATCGTCTGCATATCAGGTATGGGACGCGTGCTGGAGTCGCAGGCGGGTCCGGGTTATGTTGTGGTCTTTGGAATGTATGGGGTTTTATTGTGTGTAGACAATTAAGTAGCCTTGCGGGGTGGGACGGAAGAGGGATGGTGGCAGAGCCCCTTTCAGCTCTGTGGGTTTACTGCCTTAAGAATTAAAAAGCCAGGTGTGTGTGTGTGTGTGTGTGTGTGTGTGTGTATTGGAGGTAATATCTGTATGGAGTCCTGGAACATTGTAGGGGTGGAGAGATAAGAAAGAAGAGGCAGACTGGTGTCCTGGTTGAGAACTCTGACAAGGAAATATGAGCCTTGGCAACCCCTGCTGCCTTCCTTTGGCTTTCAAAGTTCCCAAACTAGATGGTTTCTGGTTGAAAAAAAAAAAAAAAAAGATGCAGAGCCCTGCCCTAATATCTAGGCACTTTCAGGAGACTGCAGGAGGGTTTGGGGACTGGAGAGTGCCAGCAGGAACCAAAAGGATGTAGATATACTCCATGCCTTCCCCAAATACATCAGAACCACCCCCAAATAAAAGCAAAATCTATCTGAAACAACACAGTATCATAAATACCCCTTTAAATCATGAGTTTTCCTAATTTCCAGTGGTAAGGATGTACTTACTGGCTCAGACTTACAGACATCAGGCTACTGGTGCCAGTGTGTGGATTTAGGAGCTAGTGGGAAGCCAGGGCACTGAAATGAATAAGGCAGAGCTTGTGCCCCGCTCTGTGTGTGAGCGTGAGTGTGTGTGTGTGTGTATGTGTGTGTGTGTGTGTTGGGAAGGATTTTGATATCCAGTGTTCTTGTCAGTGCAGGAAGTTGAGGGTATGGTGTGGTGATACAAGAAGAAGCTCCACGCTAAGCAGTATTTCCCCGTTCAGTTCAGTGCCTCCTCCCACTGACAGTGTCCACACCATTTCTTTCACATTTATCATTTAAGTACCCAGGGTAAAGCCTGTTTGCAGTATTCCCCTCTGCCTGCATCCCTCTGCAGAATTGGGGACTCAGCCAACTTCCCATGAAGTCAACAGAAGAGAACAGAAACCCTGCCTTTGTGAGCAGGCCTATTTGAGCAGGATTAGGATGGAGGGACATGTTTCCTCTATCTTTGTTAGGCTCAGCCAGTCCCCACCCTTTAAATCAGACCTGATTCTGGATGTTAAAAAATCCTTGTCTGCCCTTATTCTGGATCCAGTTCCAAATATTCAGGACAGGAACGGGGGATCTTTTATTTTAAATCATTCTGTTTGGGGCTAGGCTATCGTTGTTAGAAATTTGCCTCTATAAACTTTAGAGATATGTTGTATACCTAGAAGACAAAAGTGCCCTGGGGTCACTCCCAATCCTCTACTCTTTTATGCATCCTACATGTATGAGGAAACATTTCCAGGTGACCTGTAAAGGTTTATATCAGTCATATATCCAGGGGTAGACTAGGTGGCATTTTACAAGGCCACATTTTACATCTTTCTCTTCTACATCTCTTTTAAGTTTCTCTCTTTTCTCCATGTTATTTCACTAGTTATAGCCTTTTCCTGCCTCTTTCTCGCATCATAAATGCTTTTCAAATCAGACAAATTGAGTTCCTTTAAGATTTACAAAAGGTTAACACTAATGCTCTGGACCTCCCCATCTTTTGTCCCTAACCCCTCCTCTGCATTTGGGTGGGCCAGCACAGCAGGGAACCAGCTGAGAATGAGTCTGTTCTTAGCTTCCGAAAGAGGTATTAGTGAAATATTTGTCACAGCTATACTAGATTTGGTGTATCAGCAGCTAAATTATAAACTATTTCCAACCCAGGAGAGTTGCTGTGTAGTATGTGGCCTTTCATGTGCATTTATTAAATTATCATTGTTATGTAATGAGAAAATAAAAGTATCAGCAAAATTGCTAACTATTAGCTTAGCATTCCTAAGGCTAACTGGAATGCCTAGTTAGGATCAGCGTTAGTTTACTCTTTATGAAGACATTTAGGCAGAGATACAACATTATGGACTCACTATTTACACACTCATAAACTTAACTTTAAAAGGTCATTCTTTCTCTAAAATCAAAGTGGCCTCCTCCCTCTGTAGGAAGAATAGAGGTCCTCATTCAGTGATGTCCATGTATGTCACAGTTCTCATTAGTAATTTATTTATGACTCATATTTGCCCCCGTTTGGGAGACTTTGTTTCCCATCTGGCAGCCCTAAGAGGAATGCAATGCACTAAGGTTAAAAAATTGGCTCAGGGAGGGTTTAGTGGGCTTTTATCATTTCTGTTTCTGTGATTTGCAGTCTTAATTTAATCATGAATGAGCTTTACTGAGAAGAATGTAAGCGTGTGTTCATAGAACCTACTAAATCTTAAATTTGAAAACAAGTTTTTTAAAAAGCACCTCTCTACCATCTTGGGATCAAATTGCCCTGCTTAATAAATGGGTACTAATTGTAACTGAGTTATATCTATGTTTGTTACATTTGTAGGGTTGGCTTCCTTACTGAGGAATACCAGAGTAGAAAAGGCCAGCAAAAGTCTGCAGTGTAAACATTCTGCAAAAGGGAAATTTTGGAAGTAAATTTGGCCTATAGAAAGTATATTGACTGAATTTAGGTTGGCTTTCAGGAATGCTCTGGAATTTTGTAACTTAGTGTTTCCTTTGCCAAAGGTTCCTACCCTCAGGAGTTTCCCTGGTGGCTCAGATGATAGAGTATGCCTATAATTCAGGAGGGTTTGATCCATCCCTGGTCGAGAAGATCCCCTGGAGAAGGGACTGGCTACCCAAACCAGTTATTCTTTTTTTTTTTTTTTATCTTTTAAAAACAAAATTTTTATTCAATTTAGTATGATCTTCCTTTTGTCTGAGACTCTGTTATTCCTTTTTTTTTTTTTTCCCATTTATTTGCTTGAAGAATTCCATGGACAGAGGACCCTGGCAAGCTAGATCCATGGGGTTGCAAAGAGTCAGACCTAACTTCGGGTGACTGACACTTTCCCTTTTCCTACCCTCATCCTACCCCAGCTCCTAAATTAAAAGTACACACAAAGGAATTTTCTCCCTAGGTCTATGTGTCTATGTTGTTTAAAATACAGACACCTGGGCTTGTGTGTTTCATGGCTTTGCATTAATCGTTTTGTTACGATGAAGCTGAGTAAATGGTTTGAGGGGTCTGCTAGCTAGCTTAACCAGCTTTAGTTAGCTGCTGGGGACATAGCATGTGTGCCTTCCATTTGAGAGAATTTGGTTACTTCAGGACAGCACAGCTAGTCTGAAGAGGGAATGTCATGATCTGGGAGTTCTTGGGTCTGTATGTTTGGCTGACATCTCATTTTACTGAAAATGTCAGGCGGCCAAGATTTGTGGAGATGAGAGAGAGAGAGAGAGAATATTTCTTCTTGCTAGCAAGAACACTATTCCCTTCTTACAAATGCAGCTCAGATCAGTGAGAATGAATACTTAGCAGCATCAGGAGAGAATTTTCTGGTCCAAAGAGAGCTGTCTGATTTAATTCGTGTTGAACATCCTACTTTTCTATATATAACTATATATAACTTTAGTTCCTTGTCAGTTTATTCATAATAACTGCAATAGTAATTAGAATTATGTGATACTTTCACATGTATTATGCAATATTTCACATATTTTAACTCATCTAGTATCAAAATTTATAGGGTGATTTCATAAATGAGGCAACCAAAGCCCACAGAAATTCAGCTTGAAGGATTCACGCACAATTCTGAGTCAAAATTCAATGTATCATTCATGTTTTGGTATAAGATTTCTTTTAAAGTTTTTTTTTTTTTTTTTTTTTTAATTTTGCTATCTCCAATTGAATGAGTAACTCGTGTTAAATGGAGGTAAGGCTTAGAGAGTTTCAAACTGGAATTTTAGGGCGATCGCAATCTATATCTAGAATTAAGATAGTGTTTGTGTTGCACGTGACTCTGTCATTCAAACAGAGTGACAAACTGTTAGCCATTTGCCTCCAGTGTCTTATGATCAGCAATACCCGAAAGAAATGAATATTTCATACATTCTCCCCTAATCTGAAAGTTAAATGGTTTCACATCAATGTGAATATGTAGTATATATCCCATGTTTGTCACATAGATTAAATTAGATAATATGGTCAATGATTTTCACTTAGCACAGTGTCTCAGGCATATTAAGTTTGCAGTAATATAATTTTGCCTGCAAACTTTGCATGGGTTTGTGAGGAATAAATAGAATCTTTACCTTCATCCCTTAAGCTGTTTAAAAGCAAACAACAGCAACAAAACTCTAAAAACAAACATTAGCTAGTGCATTTTGTAATATTGAGTACAAATCCTACTTTCAGTGAGGTGTTGGCTTGAAATGTCTCTTAATTTTCTTTCTCATGTAAATAAGACTGGTAACATTGGGCTTTGGTACATAGTTATGAGTGTGACCCACTTTATCCGTGTGAGCCCAATATTGAGATGAGGTTTGGAAATCACTGGGAGCAATGCAGTGCTTATTCCCAGGGGAGCAACAGCATATTTTTTTTTTTTCCTCTTTCTGTTTCTAAATTATAGCTCAACATAGACTCAACTTTGAAGTGTTTCCAAAATGGCAAACTGTATATGCCATCAATATGATTTGTAATAGAAAATCCCATTAAATATGAAAAAGATAAAGAATAAAGAATCTGATGACCTTCTTGGCAATACATTTTCTTTAAATTCAGTTTCCCATATGATGTCTTATAGTCACAGATGCCATAAATGAATGGCAGATACCATAGATGTGACTCTCTTGGCAGTGAGATGAGAGATTTCCTAAGTAATACATCCTTGGTGTGTTGGGGGAGGGTGAAAAATTATCAATGTCAAAAAACATTTTATTGGGTGGGAAGAGGGAGTTTTATTGCCATCCTAGACAGTCACACTTACTATTCCAATTTTTCACCTTAACTAAGCATTATATATTTAAGCCTGAGGTGTAGGTCGGGAAGAGATCTAGGCCCATAAATGTATATGGTAGCAGGCCA